TCTCTCTCTCTCATTCTGTCTCTCTGTGTCTTTGTCTCTCTTCATCTCTCTCTCCTGCGCGCTCTGTCTCTCTTTCTGTCTCTCTCCATCTCTCTCTCTTGCGCTCTCTGTCTCTCTCTGCGTGTCTCTTTCTTTCTCTAGCTCTTTCTCTGTCTCTCTCTCTCGCTCTCTCTCTATCTCTCTATCTTTCTATCGCTCTCTCTCTGTCTCACTCTCTCTTTCTCTCTCTCTCCCTGATATTTGAAAAAACACGCAAAACCATCTAATTAACCTAAGTGTTATATATCTATGCAGATTTTTTTTTTTTTTTACGTAACAGAGTTAATATGATAACTTTCTGTACATTATAGTATACCAGCCATCCATTACAGATGTCAACCACTTACTCCAAGACATTACATAGATTGAAATGTTCTGTATCACAAATCTTCGGAGACAAAAACAAGAAATTCGGCAGAAGCACCAAATTTGGGTGTAGGAGATTGAAAGATGGGGTTAAATCGCATTAGGCGAGAGGCAGATAATCACAGCAGGGCAGGAAGTGGAAGACCTGGAGCAAGACACAAAAAGGTGTGAAGCACAAGAAACACAAGAGAATGAGAAAGTAATCAAAGAGGGGAAAAACATCATTTATCTGGCAGGGCTTGACATGACAACACCTCCATGTCCCAAGATTCCTATTAAGATCATTAACCGTACTGTCTTTAGCTGGGATCCAAAATCTCTCCTCATGACGACAGCTCTCCTACTTCATGAGGAATGAGGTAGTTACAGGAGTGTAAAAACACAAAACTGCAGAAAGTGGGGGGAAAGTGTAACAGAAATCAAGAGGAAAGAAACAGGGTTAATAGGAAGTTGTCACGGAGAGCAAAAACATCATTTATTTGTCAAGAATTGGAAAAACGTTTCTGAAGAAAAAAGGCTTGAAACAATTGTTGACAGTACATATACAGTACATATATACAGTATATATATACAGTATATATTTTATGTATATATATATATATATACATTATATATACATATTTCTATATATATATAATGTATATATGTATATATGTATTTTACATATGCATATGTATATATAAATGTTAATATATATGTATATGTAAATATTTACATATGTATATATTTGCGTTTACGTTTATATAATATATATGTATATCCAAATATACATACTGTATATACACACACATATGTAATCATAAGCATATATACAGTGCATATACACACATATATATGAACACATACACACATGTATTTAAAAAATTAAATATACAATATGTATAGTATAGTCACATATACACATATACATATATAAACATATACTTTATACACGCACACACATATTAACATATATGTAACATATATGTTTATGTATGTATTTGTCATTGTGCTCAGATCTCCAGATAACGGTACGCAAACTGTCATTGCTCCAGGCACTTTGTGTTGATAACGAGGTCAAAAATTCTACTTTTTGCACTGTACTGTTAAACTGCATTCAACGGAAGTCGACGAACGCGTGAAGTGAACGAGTGAGGCGGCGTGGGCTGCTCCGAATGCTCGGCCACCTAACGTAACCTTGCCTGTATCTCAAATCTTTACTGGTATCTCGAAGCAAAATTTTGCTCAAAGGCTAGCTCGTATCTCGAAACACTCGTATGTCGACATGCTCGTATCTCGAGGTTCCACTGTATTGCTAAAATATGCGTGACTTCTACATGATCACACACACACACGTGTCTCTCCTATAAGACCCCGATGTCCTGGACACCTGGTTCTCCTCAGGCCTGTTTCCCTTTGCCATGCTTGGTTGGCCAGAACAGGTACTGCACTTTTTCGAGCCACAGCCACAATAGCGTAGTGAACATCTCACACTCACCACTACAGTACTTTGACCTCAGCCTCTACCTCCCGCAGACGGCTGACGTGCAGCACTACTACCCTAACTCTATTCTGGAGACGGGCAGTGACCTCATCTTCTTCTGGGTGGCCAGGATGGTTATGTTGGGCAAAGAGCTAACGGGACAGCTGCCTTTCAAACAGGTGATTCCTGTCAAATCCACAGCTGATCAGAACATAAACACCATCGTGCTATCGTATCTACTGTTGATTTTTTTTTTTCTTTTTCTTTATTCCATTAATCCGCTCAGGTTCTTTTTCACTCCATGGTGAGAGATAAACATGGAAGGAAAATGAGTAAATCTCTGGGAAACGTCATCGACCCGTTAGATGTAATCAATGGAGTCTCGCTGGAGGTAGGTGCAGATAATTTGTCTGCTTTATAGAATGTCTTTGTTGTGTCATTTTGGCCATTTTTGGTATTTTTATGTTTCATTATTATCATTGGACATTGATAGAAGAAGAAAAATTCAATAAAGGTAATAAAAAATAAAATAAAAAAATATATACACATATTTATTGTATATTTAAATACTTACATGTAATATATATTATATATTTATTTATTAATTACTAGACATTTGGGGCGACCCTCATTTGAATTTCCGACCCTGAGTTTTTGGAAAAACCCTGGGATTAAAAAATATATTTTTATTCTTGTTATTTGTGAACTGTAAAGCAGTTAAACGTTTTTTTTTTTTTTCCTCTTCAGTGACAATGGAGATAACAGGAAACAGGAAACAGCCTCGTTTCACAGATGTCCTTAGCGTTTCCCCTTGACTCATGTAAAACTCTTTTCCTCTTTTTTTTGTTGTTGTTAATATTTCAGAGACTTCAGGAAAAAGTGATGGAAGGTAACCTTGACCCCAGGGAACAGATGGTTGCTCTAAAAGCACAGGTCAGGTTTTTTTTTTTTTTTTTTTTGTCGAAGTTGGTTGCGCGCTCATATGGTGTGTAAACTCACGAGTTCCTCTGTTATCTATGCCCCCCTCCCCCCCATCTGCTTCCACACAGAGCAAAGACTTTCCCCAGGGGATCCCTCAGTGCGGGACAGACGCACTTAGGTTTGCTCTCTGCTCTCACAAGATGGAGGGTGAGTGACTCTCATGAAAGACCAATTGTCAGATCGAATGAATGTAAAACACTGTTTACGCTTGGACTGAAAGCGAGTGAGACCAGTCATGAGGGTATGTCATGATATGTCCAGCCTTACACTACACTAGACCAGGCATGGACCGGAGCCGACCCACCAAACTTTTCCAAATTATATAATTTATTTATATTATCATTATACTTCTGCCTTTTCCCTGCAATACCCACGTTTCCCCAATAGATGGTGTAGAAAATGATATAAGTGTTTTAGCATTTTAACCTTTATGCATGACTTTTACATGTCAATTATCTTAGTTCACACGAACGCTCCATGTATCTGCTCCTGACACGACCCTTCTGTTAAATTGTGGCCCGCAAGTCAAAAAATGTGCCCGTGCCTGCAGTAGACCCATCAATTATTATTGTATAATAATATATTTTAGCCTCATAATTAGCATAATTGCCCGATTCAGATTTGAAGGTTTTCAGAAAAAAAACACTCTGATTGGCTGATGATATAGCCAATGAGGTACAGTATGTCCGCAGTGTCAGGAGAGTAGATTTTGGAAGTTGCAAGTTTAACAAAATATAACTGGGGCTAGTGTGTTCCAACTTTCTTTTTGAGCCACGGCACACCAGCAAAACACAAATGTACATGGAATAAAAGAATCATTAAGATTCAATTCAATAACAATTCACTCACTCGGGTATAAATCCCGAGCCTCTTTAGTTGAACACAAATGTGACATATCCGCAGGAATTGAAGAAAGACACACATAAAGCTCTTGATATTACGTTTTAATGCTATCCTCTGCAGCTATGATTTGGGCACGAACTGACCGTGGTACTAGAGACTTAATATTTCCTTCTGTTTTTATAAACACTTTTCATACACACAGGCCATTCACACAATATTTCAGCGTAGCGGCTTTTTAGTCAAGCACTTGATTTTTGAGAACGTCTGCTGAGATGGTTTACAAAGTGAAACACAAAAAACTGTTTTTAAAGTATTTCTAACCAACTTCATATGAATTAAAAACATCTTTAAATCTTCCTCTGTATTTGTGTTAGTCACTCGCTCTGTTCTGTGTCCCACAGGAATACGTCAAATCTGTGCAGCCCCGGCAGCAGAATAGAAATTGTTCAGAGGTCGGGTCGGACATAAAGCCCAGTGACGCTAACACTGTCCTCTATCACTGCGTGTCGGTTTGCCTGGCTTTACTCTCACCGTTCATGCCCTTCGTCACCGAAGAACTTTTCCAAAGACTCCAGCCTTTTAAACACGGATCTGTTTCCCAAGACAGTCTGTGTTTGCAGCCGTACCCCTGCTCCTCACAACTGGTATGAACACGACAATCATTTATCACTCTTTGAAATGTGCAGTGACTACAGTATAAGGTAATGCTTTTTAATACGTTAATTGTTTATATCACCTTTTTTATACCAAGGACTGGTCGGCCAGTACCGACCACTCCTGAGGACCGTTTGTAGAATTATCATTGAGCATCATTACATTTTCGAAATAAAATATATTTTTTAAGACTTCTGTTAGTATTGCAGTCTCAGTGACATGCTTTTTAAATATTGCCAGAATATCTTATCTATGAAGAAAGTAAACCCACTGTCCCACTGTGTCCCAGTACCAAATAAGTTATGGACTGGTACTGGTCCGCGGACCAGGGGTTGGGGTTCTACAAACCACCTTCAAGATGCACTAAAATGACTGGAATCCACCAACTCTATGAAGCCAAATTAGAGTTACCTTGTGATTGACCTTGTGTGTGCGTTCAGACAAAGATTAAGCTGTGAAGCTTATGTTCACACAAGTAAAAAAAGACTGTTTACTGTTTTCTTTTTCCTTAACCACTAAGTCACCACTGCCCCTCACTGCCCCCCCCCCACAGGGGTCGACCCTGATAAACAAGTAGAATATGATTCTATGTAAGACATATTCTGAATCTCTTATCTATTCTATTATCTATTAAAATATATAATTTCATGTTTGTTATTTTCACACTAACAGCCACTAGAGGGCACTCTAGGTTTGCGTACCAGTATCTGCTACTCCTGTACCACTGAAAATGTACATGTTCGTTGCTTTCACATTGACAGCCGCTAGAGGGCACTCTAGCCGGCTGGTGCGACTTATACTCCGAGTGACTTATAGTCCGGAAAATACAGTAACGTTCTTTTCCAGTGAACTTCAGTGTTCTCACACGGTCACTTTTAACACTATTTGCTGTTAATATTTCCTTCTGTTTTTATAAACACTTTTCATACACACAGGCCATTCACACAATATTTCAGCGTAGCGGCTTTTTAGTCAAGCACTTGATTTTTGAGAACGTCTGCTGAGATGGTTTACAAAGTGAAACCCAAAAAACTGTTTTTAAAGTATTTCTAACCAACTTAATATGAATTAAAAACATCCTTAAATCTTCCTCTGTATTTGTGTTAAAGTACCCACTCGCTCGGTTTTAGTCGTTCGCTCTGTTCTGTGTCCCACAGGAATACGTCAAATCTGTGCAGCCCCGGCAGCAGAATAGAAATTGTTCAGAGGTCGGGTCGGACATAAAGCCCAGTGACGCTAACACTGTCCTCTATCACTGCGTGTCGGTTTGCCTGGCTTTACTCTCACCGTTCATGCCCTTCGTCACCGAAGAACTTTTCCAAAGACTCCAGCCTTTTAAACACGGATCTGTTTCCCAAGACAGTCTGTGTTTGCAGCCGTACCCCTGCTCCTCACAACTGGTATGAACAAGACAGTCATTTATCACTCTTTGAAATGTGCAGTGACTACAGTATAAGTTAATGCTTTTTAATACGTTAATTGTTTATATCAACGGTCCCCAACCTTTTCTGGCCAGTACCGACCAATCCTGAGGACCGATTGTAGAATTATCATTGAGGATCATTACATTTTCGAAATAAAATATTTTTTTTAAGACTTCTGTTAGTATTGCAGTCTCAGTGACATGCTTTTTAAATATTGCCAGAATATCTTATCTATGAAGAAAGTAAACCCACTGTCCCACTGTGTCCCAGTACCAAATAAATTATGGACTGGTACTGGTCCGCGGACCAGGGGTTGGGGTTCTACAAACCACCTTCAAGATGCACTAAAATGACTGGAATCCACCAACTCTATGAAGCCAAATTAGAGTTACCTTGTGATTGACCTTGTGTGTGTGCGTTCAGACAAAGATTTTGATCGTAACAATTTACCGGTTACTTTTTCTACATTTATTCTTCTTCCTGTTGCTGGCTGTGAAGCTTATGTAAAACATTGGTATCGCTGACACCATTGACTGTTTTTTTTTAATCTGTTTTGGCTGCTGTCTTGTTTGTTAAAAAAAAAAAATCTCCTCTTCTTCTCAGAATCACTGGCATTTCCCTGAGGAGGAAAAGGCGTTTCTTCTGATTCAGGAAGTCGTCCGAACAGCACGCTTGCTACGAGCACAGTGTGGCCTGACCAAAGACAAACCTGCCAGTAGGTGAAGAATTAAAAAAATATACAGTATGTCAAGAAATATTTAAATGCCTGTTGTACAGATAAATTAATATATCTAGTAATTTGCATTTATATTGTGGTTATGTGTTGGGTTTTTTTTTTTCAGTGTGGGCAGCATGTTCGCCCAGTCAGGCCCGGATTCTTACTCGGTATGGGTCAGCAGTTTGGACTTTGGGTCGGATGTCAAACCTCCATATCTACTGTCCCACTGGAGCGGACGCTACCTGTTCTGCTCCTCCGCCTGAAGGAAGCCTCATTGGGGTGGTGGACCACACCTGCCAACTACATCTTCAGGTCGAGGTATGCTCATTATCTGTCGGGGTTTTCTCTCATTTAGGCAACACAGTGTGTTTGAGGAGAACGAGAGAACGAGACGTTTTTACTAAGTTTATGGGAGACGGTGACTTCACCACGAAACACCAAAGGTCTAAGCCCTAATCTCAACAGCATAAATACTGTCGACAGATACCGTTATCTGTTTTGCAGATAATAAATTATAAAGATTTTCATTATTGAAAATTGAAAAAAAAAACAAAATAAAGATTTTCATTATTGAAAATTGAAACGATTTTTACGATTCTGTATACAATTACAGTCTTGTACCACATTTTGTTAGTGATTGACCACTGTTTCCGATCCACTTGATCACCTGTGACATTCAGTTGTGTTTTCTTGTTTTTGGACAGAAAGGATTAAACGCCGACAAACAGATCAGGCAACTCTCCCAGCGCAGAGATAAGCTCGTTCCGAAACTCAAGGAAATCCTTGACTCACTTCAGTCTCCGGACTATCTGACCAAAGTTCCTGCTCATGTCAGACACAGGATGGATAATAAGGTGAGTTCCCGTTGGTCGAGTGAAGTGAAGCTCTGCTGCGTGGAATGTTTTCGTACTGTTGGTTTAGGAACAAGGTGCGTTGGATTTCGGGTCTGTGTTTTGAAACGTGTATATTTGCAAATTGTGGAGAGAAATGTATTTTAATATTAAGGGCAACACTGATGTCAGTGCGAGTGACCAATAACAATCACCGAACGAATCCCTCACATTTTTGGACTGAATGGAGAGGTGGATAGATGACTGGCCTGAGGGATGGATGGATGGCTGGAATGATGGATGGATGGTTGGATGGATGGATATATAGATTTAGTGATAGAATTGCCAGTGTTTTCCAGACTATAAGTCACACTTTTTTTCATCCGTTTACTAGGTTTGCGACCCAGTTACTGATAGCCACTAGAGGGCACTCTCGGCTTGTGTATCTGCTACTCCTGTACCACTGAAAATGTACATGTTCGTTATTTTTACACTGACAGCCGCTAGAGGGCCCTTTTGCGACTTATACTCCTGAGCGACTTATATACAGTATGGTTTTTTTTTCTTCGTCATTATGCATTTTTTTGGCCAGAAAATACAGTATCTGTATTTGTATTCAGTATCGGTGAGTATATAAATGGAAATGCTCGTACTGGTATCGCTGTGTAACAAATGTCCCAGTACTATTCTATAGTGCACAGCACTTATGCAGGAAATGACTGAGGTAACTTTAGTCGGGATAATAAGCTTATCTGAGAGAGTCGTATTAAATTAACCTTTTAACCCAAAATGCAAGGTATTCTAAGTACATGTTTCCCGTACAACCAGTAAAAATAAACCGATTGTCATTGGTAATTACAGTTGATTCATTCAAGAGAAACATGAGTTTTTGATCCCGTGTGGGATAGTAAACATCTACATGAATTAGGGAAACCTAATCCTATTGATTTTTTTTTTTTTTTTTACCATGTTTTTAATTTTGAACCCCTTCCCTTGTTCAGCGGGCCGCGTTGCAACAGGAGCTGAATACCATCGAATGTCAGCTCAAGGCTCTGCAGGAGGAATAAAGAGCAGGATGAGTCCACCATCGAAGGATCTGTGGAAGAACGCTGCTCGTGATTGAATTGTTATTAGAGGATCCCGAGCTGTGGGTGGTGGAGCAGGCACCAGCATGCTCCTGAACGGGCCCACACGGTTGAGTTGACTGCGCAGGAAATGTTTTATTTTGTGTGTTTATGTGTCTGCATATGTACAGTGATCACTAAAATTGTCAAACTGATTTTGCTTCAGGGGCCACATACAGCCTGATTAGATGTCAAGTGAGCTGGACCAGTACAATCATAACATCATTACCTATTAATAACCATAAGTTCATGTTTTCCCCCTTTGTTTTCATGCAAAGAAGTACAAGTATATTAGAAAACATTCCTATTTATTGAAATATTATTTGAAAAAACATCATGAACATGAAATGTTGGTGCATTTTTTTTTTACTTTAAAAATTCATCAAGCGGGCTGCATTGACCAACCCCAGCGGGCCAATTTTTGCCTGCGGGCCGTATGTTTGACAGCTCTATGCTCTATGTCTTCTACGGTGAATTAAAAAGACGTTGCATATCGATTATGTTCAAAAATGGATCATCAAACTCTTATTTACTTATATACTACTGTATTACTTTCCTATAATAAATAGGTCTGTCTTTTTAGTTATTCCGCATGTGTTTTGTTGTTTATGATCACCGAAAGATCAGTTCTTTATTTATTTTTATTATTATACATTATTAGTATAATGGTGGTGAATTTAATATATATATATATATATATTCAAAACAGAATAGTACATACTTACAGGTTCATCCCAATCATCCTTTATCAAATACAGTATATCCGCTATTTCTCTTGAGTACTTTTCCAAACCACCTTAACCTTGTTTCTCTAACTTAATCTCCAAACTGCTTAACCTTAACTCTGCCTCTGATCTGCTCATGTCTTTATTATATCCATCCTGGCCACTCCCCATTTTAGATCTCTCTCTCTCTCTCTCTCTCTCTCTCTCTCTCTCTCTCTCGTCGACATTATGGTCATCAGAGTTTGCTGTTTTCCTCTCTGTATAACAATGCAGCTCCTTCTGATCTTATTTGAATATTTCCACCAGCACTTCAGATGGAAAAATTGTAATTCGCACCACTCTGTGTTGACATGAAACCAAACTACTGTTTATTCACCTGAATTCACCTTAGCCTTGCTTCGACAACTAGTTCCAACTATTAAGATCGGCTACGCCAAAAGATCCTGGAATATGCAATGTACAAAGACACTAATAATGTAGTTGATTACCTTGAAACTTGCAAAGCCAGATTTAAATATGGGGCAGACGTACATCATTCTGTCAAATAAAGCAACTCAGGTTTTACACAATGAACACTAGCCCTACCATGAAACACAAAAAAATGGAAGTATAAGGGAAAGGGAACTTTGATGAACTGACGCAACCCCGTGTGGTTACCAGAAATCATGTGGTTGTGGAAAAAAATTTTTTCTTGAGCAGTTATCAACAAAAGTTGACCCTGTAATGCCAGGTTAATGTAATCAACTGCCTTTTCTTTTTTAGTCTTTTTCTTATCTGGACATAGTCAATTATCATGTTTTGATTGATAACACATTTTAGGCATAAATAGACATAAATATCTTAGTATATATTAGGGAAGTCCGATAATATCGGCCGACTGACGTTATTGGCCCGATATTAGCATAATTATGTAATATCTGTTAAGTCTCGTTGTCGTTTTTTCCTCCGATAATGAAATAGAAATATCAATATACAGTATATATATATATTTATTTTAAACAAGCCTAAGGGAATGTCTATAGTTATGTAAAGTGAATATCAAATACGTAGTTATATATAGTAATGTGGATATATTTGTTTAAAGTCATTTATTTAAATGGAGATACGATAAATATTTAGCCTTTATACTTGAGGTTGAGGTTAAATTAAAAAAAAATGTCTTTGACAGGTTAACCGTTGTTGTTCCTCTTTGCTGTTACCGTTTATTAGCAGTTAACAGTGTGTTGACTGCATGTGTGCTGACTCGACTCTGTTCAGATCAAGTCGGTCAACCCTCGCGTCAGTAAACCGGAAGTTTACGTGTGTAGTCAAATGAAAAAAAAAAAAAAAAAACGCCGTCACGAGAGGAGTCAGCCGGTGGTTGAGGTAAAGCCAGCTGGACCGAAAGAAAGTGAGGCAGCGCAAAGGAGAAACAAGACTCGCGTATTTCCACACATGTCGCCTCCGTTGGCGACAGACCGTCGGTACCGTTGCTGTCACACTTTCGCCGCAGCCTGCTAATATATTAGCTGCCGCTGGCGACGGAGGGAAAGCAAATGGAGCTGCCGTGAGCCACAGCCAGAGGCGGAGGTGCGACCAGCTGTGGAGCCGACACAGATACATTATGTGCGGTGAATGTGACTTCGCGAGGATGAAGGGAGGCTCCAGTGGCGGCTAATGTTAGCCATATAAGCAGCTAGCAGCCGGTCGGTGCTGCTGTTTCGTCCAAGTCTTACGCCTCTCTTAGATAAACGCTGCACCGCGCGACTGAGCCGAACGACTCAGAGGTAAGTGTAGTCTCACTCATGTGTGCAGACCTTAAAACCAATGCAGTCAAAACCGTTTACTGCTGCCGCTACACGTAAGCCAGCGAGCTAAAGGCTAGTTAGCCCGACGACTCGCTATATATAGGCATTGTTAAATTGCCATATCAATTTTGGGAGCAAAAACAAACACGACCTGCTGTGAAAGCCATGTCCGTGTTCGCTGCGTTAGATCCACTGACAGTTTGTTGTCACTGTCAGTTTACTTGACAGTGACATAAGCATGTGAAGCATAATAGTTGGGGGATTTTTTTGGGACTGGGAAAGGACACCGGATTTATAAAACCTGTGAAGCATAATAGTTGGGGGATTTTTTGGACTGGGAAAGGACGCCGGTATCAGATGAAAGTAAACCCATCGTTCATCTCGGCAGAGTGAAGTGTAGTGACGTGAATCGTGAGCCAATAAGTCCATAGTTTCAGTAACGGCTCTGCGCTAGGCGTCTCTGTCATTGTGATTCTCGTCCTACCAGCCAGTTCCACGTTGTCAGACAGGAAGGAGAGGGTTAAAGGAGAAGAACAGAGTTTCAGTTGGTACAGTTTGAGAAAAGAGCAACAGTTGTTTCTCGTCCTCGTCAGGGACAGTGCTCCTCCTTTGTCAGGCAATCGTATAACCTCAGGTATGCATAATTTCGACCTCTTTTTTTTTATTTATTTTTTATAGGATGTCACATCTGATTTTCATTTTTGTGCGAAATCCTTTGGCTTTTGTCACCAACTGGAGGACGTTTTTATTACTAAGAGCTCACTTACCATTTATTAAATGGAAAGATAAATTATGCCAGCTGCTAATAATGCCTGTTTTCGTGCAGAAGACGAGCTCATTTTGGAGTTTAATATGTTTAATCACAATCATTGCTGTCAACAGTTCTCTAAAAAGTTTAGTAGATTTTTATTTATTTTTTTTAAATTTTTGCACAAGTATTTATAAGAGGTTATATTAAATTGCTGTCTAACAAACAACATTTTGAGTGTGATTTTTTTTTTTTCCAGAGCAAAAAACATTGGTTAGATGTCTTCTGCTAATTATAGGACAACATTTTGAGTGTGATTTTTTTTTTCCAGAGCAAAAAAACGTTGGTGAGATAATTAGTCTTCTGCTAATTATAGACCGTTAGGAGATTATAGTGGATGTATATTTGTCAACACTAATAGGTTTAGCTGCTTCCGCTTTTCTTAAAGCCTCAGCGAAGAACTCGGTTTCATTCTTGTCTCGCTCACTTTTCTGTACCTACAGCAGTTCACGAAACTGCCTGCCTGCGGAGTTCTGCTCAAGTGACTTTTGCACTGAAGCTTGTTTGTCGATGGTGGAAAATGTGGAGTTTGACTCCACAGCCTTATCTGTGGTAGTAGTTGATGTTTTAAGCGTTAAAAGTCTGTTGTAGAATTTGGTTTACATCAATGGTTCGCGTCCTTCTTTTTCCTGTTGATAGTTACATTAGGTCAAGCAATGATGATAACAAACTAAGAATGATCTATTATACCGGAGTTATTTTATTGTCAGTCTTTTAATGATTTACACAAGTTAATTTGTCTGGATTTATTGGCGTTCTCTGCTCTATAAATTGCAGATAGGAACATACAAACAGATCTGAATGGAAAAAGTAAAAAAAAAATCAAAAAAAAATCATAAAGACAAAGAAAAGATAAAAGAAAGAGCACAAGGCTCAGAGGACGTAGTGACTGAAAGGCTGCAGAACCCTTTGATGAAACAAAGGCTCTACAGTAGTTTGGATTGAAAATTTCCCAACCAGACCAAAGGTCACAAAGTGGACAATGCCTTTTTTAGCATGGAAACGTCTGTCCTTTTTTAAAAGATATCATACCCACCTACTACTAGATACCAATAAGGGGTCCAGTAATATTAACTGAAGTGCAAATATGTTTAAGGTGAATTGATAATATAATACTAGCAGGACATTGACACAGCATTTTACTCGTGTCTAAGGAAAATGTCAAGTAATTAAAGGAGCAATATCAATAAAATAAAGATAGTTTTTTTTTTTTTCTTCTCTACACGGGCCAGGAAAGATCAAGCTAGTTGTCACCTTTGCTTACCTTTGGACAACCCTCTTGGCAGGAACTGAACCTTGAGCATCCTTCAGGATAAGTGGCCTAGAGGTTTTGTAATTTAACAGGTAATCGTCCTCCTTTAGCAAATAAGGGATAGGTTCTTCCGACAGGATGAGGGCAGTTAGCTCTATCCAAAGCCCTACAAGCCCCAGGTCCTTTGATTAAATCCTTAATCTCCTCCTTTATGGTTGGTGTACTCAGCAGATCTACCTGGACTCGAAATGGGGAGGTCCAAGAGAGAACCAAAAACACGTTTACATTAATGCAGTTACATTTACAAGAAGAGGATTAACAATCAAGCTACATAAGAGGATGTTTAGAGAAGGAGGCCACTGCAGGAAAAGGGAGGTACAGGAAAATGCTAGGACAGGAGGTGCCCTCCTAATAGCTGGGTTTTCAAGTGCTTTTTGCAAATAGCCCCCTTTTTCCGATAGTTACTCGGTACTCGGCCATATGAGAAGAGCCTGGATTGTCTTGTACAAGGGGGTGAGTGGAGTGGTCTCGGGTTAACATAAGGCTCTATCAAGATACTTAAGTACATTGGAGCACACCCATTATGTACCGTGTAGGCTAGCAAGAGTGATTTGAATTTGATGCATGTAGCTTTGAATGGCCAGCGTAGCACAGTGAACAGAAGGGTGACCTCTCATCCCTTAAAGCTTTCATAGTGCCCAGAGCTGTTTTGTTTTTGTTGTTGTTATTGTTTTTTTGCATCCTGCCCATCGCATTATCTTTCTCACTGGAGTGAAAATTTAGTTTTACATTTCGCTCTGGTCAGGTTTCAACTGGTTTTATCTTTTTTTTTTTAAATGTCTTCAACAGATTTTTTTTTTTTACCCTCCCTCCCTCTTTTATCAAGTTGTCTTTGTAGGTTCTCAGTTATCCGGGTCATCTTAAGTGATGTTGTTCAGTGAAGCGTGTTATTTTGTAAAGAGACATGTCGTATTTATAACACGGCAAGTCCTCCTGGTGCTTTCAATACTTCATCGCCCGATTGGTGTCCACGGAGGGTAATGGTGTGTTTATTCCTGGAATGAACTTAGTCTGAGTTTATTACGATGCATTTCTTTTGCATGGTTCATTGGGATACTTCAGTAATAAGAAAAAGTGGCCACACACAGAAAAACACGGAGAGACCACAGGAGATGACAAAAGGATGTTACTTCATAAATATTCACACAAAAATTAAATTCCAGATTGTGTATTGTGCCACATAAAAATAGGAGAATTAGAACTCAGTAATGCAAAAGGATGTTACTTCATAAATATTCATACAAAAATAAAATTCCAGATTGTGTGTTGTGCCACGTAAAAATAGGAGAATTAGAAGTAAGTCAGTAATCTGTCATCGAGTCTACACCAGAGCTGCCCATTAAATGTGGTGACTGTCAATATGTCAATCATTTTCTTACAAAAACCACAATAATAAATGTCAGATTCTTCACCAGACAATTTATTTCAAACAATCGTTTATGATTTTTTTTTTTTGCTTTTCTCGTCTGCTTCGTTTTCAGGATGACGACCGAAGGATAGCAATTAAAACTTCCATACCTGCATCCCAATGTGACCCCACTTCCCCCCATCCCTTTTCTTCAAGACCACTCAGAACTCTTTTAACCCCCCCCTATTCCCTTTCGAACCTGTGAGAGTGCTCGCCTAACCTGATGGTCTCACATCCCCGGGGATTGAATTGAGTATGCTGCTTCAACGTCATTTGTGTCATGCGAATTCATTTTTAAGTAAACAGTCCTCCTGACATTTTCTTTGGCCCAGAGAGAGAGAGGATGCTTCTCAAATGAGAAATGCTTATAATGTAACTGTAGTCCACCCTCCTACCTACCCGAGAGTACCTTCTCTGTTTCCATCACTGGTTCTTCAACAGCCAAAACTCGAATCCTTTCCCGGGGTTTAAGGGCCATGGTGCGTAAGAAAGGTTCTCTTATACTATGCGGTGCTTTTTTGTTTGTCGCCTGGAACGCTTTGCTTCTGCTGTATCTATGGGGCCGCCCTCCTATTGGCCGCCCCGGAGAAGGGGGAGGAGCCGAACCAGGTGGAAATGAGGAGTGGGGCATGGGCCAAGGTAAAGGAGGCCACGTCAACCTGGCGGGCGAGGTGATCCGACTTGCAGAGGAGGTCGAGATTCAACTGGAGACCCAGAAAAAGCTGCTGAAGCAGATAGAAAATCACAGGGCGCTGTGGGCGCGGCAGAAGGATGTCGGCAAGCGACAGGCGGACGGTACCAAGCAAGTTAAACACGAGGTCGTTCACAAGCCTTCAAGGCCTCCTCTTCCTCCCAAAGGAGCTGATGCCGTGCTCCCACCTGACGTGCATCTCACACAGAAGCCTTTTCAAACGGTAGCGCCCGATTCCAAGCCAGAACAGCAGCAGGTTGACGAAGCAAAGGCCGAGGGAGAGAAGAGCGATTCGCCGACCTCGTCTGCCAGCCCGGAGGTCGTCATTCCCATTCTTGTCATCGCCTGTGACAGGGTGACAGTGAAGCGAAGTTTGGACAAACTCATACAGTATCGCCCCTCCCCAGAACAGTACCCAATCATTGTCAGCCAGGACTGTGGCCACGCCGAGACCGCCCGCGTCATTGGCTCATACGGCGATCGAGTGACGCACATAAGCCAGCCGGACCTGTCCGACATCAGAGTCCGACCAGAACACAGGAAGTTTCAGGGCTACTACAAAATTTCCAGACATTACCGCTGGGCTCTTAACCAAGTGTTTAACACTTTTTCCCAGTCTACTGTGGTCATAGTGGAGGATGACCTGGAGGTAAGAGCTTTCTCACACGTCAATCGATTTTCGCCATAAGTCGGAACTCGCATACTGCACACAAGTACCCGTGTCACTCAACCTACGCTAACGCAGTGGTTACATCGTAATCTAGGACATCGAAATATCAGTTTGACTTGCACTTCCGAGCCATAATAAAGAGCAAGTAAATTAAAAAAATATATACATTTAACAAAAAATCCAGCCAGGTTTGCTTTTCATCCGAAACAAAAAATGAAAAGGAAAAAAATGCAGAAGATGTGGTGGTGTTTACGTTACGAAAAAAAGAAAAGCCTTCCTGTGAAAGCATTTATCTAGAGTCTAGGCTCTGTGTAAAGCAAAAGGAAATTGCAACATAATTTGTGGCAAGCGTCATCGTCCTCTAAAGATAAAAGGAGAGCTTTTAAAAAAAAAAAAAAAAAAAAAAAACATTGCTGAACTGTGAGCAAATGTGAGGGCATGGCAGTAGTCGAGCAAATAAAGCGATGCGACTTAGCATTGAGGGGGAAAAAAAAAAAGTTAAAAAACAAGAATGAAAGTGACTAGGGAGACTAGAAAATTATACAAATGAGAGTGACAATAAAAAAATGAATAGTACATCAAGGCGTAAGGCTGCGTTATCTCAAAACGTCACTGGTCATACCGTGACACTACACACTCTAATACAGCAGGTGGCGGTTTGTGCCTAAAAACGTCGGTTGTGACCAGCTGTTAAACCTTGAGGTCAGATCTCTACGTAGCCTAAGTGCAGTGTTTTACAGTCTTTCTGTGAAGAAAATAATTCTTTCTAGTTAATACTTTAATTTAAAAAAAATGTTTTTTGCTTAATACATTGACAGTTAGCGAGGTAATTAAGACCTACTTACTTTGGTCAAAATTATTTAAGCTCATTTTGTTTCAAAATATTGTGATAAAATCGAAGAGGGAGCAAAAAAAAAAAAAAAAAAAAGCGAATCATATCGTATTGTGAGTTGAGTGTCTCGTTACATCCCTAAAAGTGACCATTTTCTCACCCCTGTGTGTTCTCTCTCCCGCAGGTCGCGCCCGACTTCTTTGAGTACTTCAGAGCTCTGTACCCAATCTTGCGCTCTGACCCCACCTTGTGGTGCGTTTCTGCGTGGAACGACAACGGCAGAGACGCCTCGGTGGACGCGTCCAAGGCCGAACTTCTTCACAGGACGGACTTCTTTCCCGGGCTTGGCTGGATGCTGCTCAAAGAGCAGTGGGCCGAGCTGGAGCCCAAATGGCCCTCGGCCTTCTGGGACGACTGGATGCGTCAACCCGAGCAGCGCAAAGAGCGCTCCTGCATCCGCCCCGAAATCTCACGGACTATCACGTTCGGCCGCAAAGGCGTGAGTTTAGGTCAATTTTTCGACCAGTACCTTCGTTACATCAAACTAAACACTCAATTCGTGCCTTTTACCAAACACAACTTGTCGCATTTGCTAAAAGAGAAGTATGACCCGCAGTTCGTCAAAGAGGTTTACGGCGCACCACTTGTGAAGATCGAAGAGCTGCAACAGGGCAGCTTGAAAGGTCCCGGACCGTTCAGGGTGCAGTATTCCAGCCGGGAAAGTTTTAAAGTTTTTGCCCGAAATCTCGGCGTTATGGACGACTTGAAATCCGGCGTTCCTCGAACAGGTTATAGGGGCGTGGTGAGCTTCCTGTACAGAGGCAGGAGAGTGTTCCTGGCTCCACCGGAGGGTTGGGTGCAGTACGACGTCAGCTGGAGCTGAGAGACCGATCGCAGGACAGTACGATGTGAACGTGGTTGAAGAAGAAGAGAGAGCACCTCGGTCAGAGGGAACTCTCTCAGACCAAAGAATATCAGCAGACGCTGCGTGTTATAAAGTAGACTGAGGCGGCGCGGACGGACGCTGCGCACGAGCACCACCCGCACCATCAAATTGTCACCCTGGTCCACGTGGTAGGAAGGCTGCCCAAAAATTGGGGGTGCTCATTCGGGTCCAGGGCCAGAGGATGTAGGAAGTTCATGGAGGACGAAACCCTTCAGATACAGTTTCAAAAGAGCTATTGGCAACGTGCCTTGCTTCATGGGCCCCGAATGTTTGAGTGTTTTTTTTTTTGTTTGTTTGTTTTTTTGTTGTTGCTGTGAATATAAGCCAAATGTAAACCTAACATGAAACCACAAAACAAGGGTTAGGAGCAGAGAATTTAATTTGAATTGTCAATAGGAAGAGGTGTTCTCTCAGTGTCGGCGATGGAACTACATAACAAAAAAAAAAAAAACCTGCACACTTGAGGTGAATCGTAAACAACTCATGTCAAGAACCATTGATGTCATGTTGAAATTTGACCCAAGTGTTGTTAAAGTTCGAGTCTAATGAGTAGCAGAGCTGTGCGCAAACAAAAAAACAAAACAAAAAAAAAACCCCACAGGGCCTCAGGTGGTAAACAAAGGCAACATCAAGCGCTCGACTCGCTTGTTACGTAAGTCTGCAGCCCGGATGGTTGTCGTTAAAGCAGGAAGGCTGTTTCATTCATGATGCAGAGCAAAGGAATCCCAGCTAAGGCGCAGACGCTAACTTCTTAAAGTGGCCCCGATTACACAAGCACCAAACCGGTTTTTAATCGAATGTTTTCTTTTGCTTGATTTGGAAACCCGCCTGGTGTAGATCACAGCCGTGTGTGCAGAGTAAAATCTCAATCGTGATCAATCGTCAATTCACGATTTCTTTTATCGTTTTTTTTTTTTAAATCCATTTGTTTCTGCGGATCGGCGAGATGCCTTTGGTAAGTTGTTTTTCGATATCTGACGTCGTTCCGTGTCCACTGTACGTCGTCGTCCGAGCACAGCGCAATACGATTTTTACGAGAACCACACCTGAAATAATAGATAGAACCTTAAAAAAAAAATATACGATTCGTACTCCACGTAAAGGATCTCTTCGCTCGCATAGGAGCGCAAAAAAGTTGTGGATTATGGAGTTCTCTTCGCTCGCATAGGAGCGCAAAAAAAAGTTTGGCTTGTGGATTATGGAGTTAAAAAAAAAAAGGCCACAAACCCTAACCCTAAACTCTCTGGTACCATCCAAGACCTTGTCCAAAAGAGATTTTTTTTTTTTTTTTTTTTTTTACCAAACTTCGTCAGCAGTTTGATCACAGATGGACGCCTCCTGGATGACTAACGTGTTCCAACGAGTTTTCCCCCAGAACACAGCTGCAGCTGGTTTCCCCCTTCTGCCCCTCCTGTGCCTCATGCTGCATGTGTCATTTTGTTATCTAGTGATCAAGTAGGAACGTGTTTATATTGTGTGCACATTTGGGTGGATTGGGAGATTGGGTAGAAATGGGGGGGGGAGGGGGAGCTAAAACCATCCACCTGTATCTCTAAAGTCCCTTCCGTAGACGCTGCTCCAAACAGGAAGTTCAATTTAGGCATTATTTGGAAAATGTTTGGCCCAGTCATGGTTTTATGGCTGTGACGAAGCAGGACAGAAGTTGGGACTAGAACAGGCGCGGGCAAACTTTATGACTCACGGGCCCAACAGGAGCAGATACGTGGAGCGTTTGGTGTGAACTAAGACAAAAGACGTTTAAAAGTCATGCATTTTCTACGCCAATTATATAATTTGGAAAAGTTTGGAGGGCCGGATTAGGAATGCTGAACGGACCGCATCCGGCCCCCAGGCCATAGTTTGCCCATGCCTGGACTAGAGTTCTAACAGTTGGGTAGAAATCTGTGACATCACTTTCTCAATGGGGGATTTCAAAATGTTCCTGTGTTAAATTTTTAAAACCCTGTGAATGATCTTTCGAGAAGTAATGAGCAATGCTAAATCATGGGTCCCCCAACCTCTGGTCCATGGACCGGTAATGGACCATGTGGTGGTGGTTTTTTTTGATAATTGAATGATCCGTTCAACAATGGGGCGGTATTACCGGTCAGCAGTAACGGTTAATACCTGCCGACCAGTACTTGGTCTAAATGAATTTCAATGGTGTTGAATAATTCCCCGTATGTGTTTTTACATCAGAATAGATTTAAATTACATTCGGGTTAAAAAGGGCAAACGTGTAAACAGCACTCCAGTTTCTCCAGTTTCCAATTCCAAGGCTGGTGGGGAAAGGTGTCGGTGGACAGACAAGCGTGTCACTGTGTGACCTTTAAGTCTCGGCCATTTCATACACAGCGAGTGGAGCGTGTAAAGGTCTTGAAACACAGGGGTGACCACCTCTTTTGCCTGTCAGTCCAGATAATACGAAAGGGTGACAAAAGTCACAAATGTTGGAAAACACAGACTTTATTAGAAAAATATGCGCGTTCCACTGAGCTAGTGCCGCTGCTGTCGACGTAGAAACGACTTCTCGTTTATAAGACCTGCAACCGTTTTCGAGATCTTTAGCTCTCCGTCGCTGTTGTCAGGAAGGTAAGCGAGACTAACGGCTCACACTGTCCAATCGAATGCTTTGGTTAATTGGAGCATTTCTTTCTTTCTTTCTTTTTTTTTTTTCAAAAAGCAAACACGCCCCCTTATCAAATCTCCAACACCACCTGTGGAGGTTTTGGGGTCTTTTTTGTGGGGAGCTCGGGGTTCTTTTTCAGAAATGTGTCGCCTGTCCGAATTTATTTCAATCACTCTGGTGTTCAGAGAAAGACTGTATTACTGTAATTAACGTAATAAAGCTGCACCTATATTTTGATTTTGCAAAATTGCTAGTGCTTAAAAGCCTAAATTCGGCAGTTGGCAGTTGGTGAACGGTGATTTGCGTTTTACATCATGATGCGGCTGATGAGTTGCATTGTTAGCATAAACCAGGGGTGTGAAACTCACTTGTTTCCATAGAAATACCGTGGTGAAGAGGAATAGTGGCGGAGTAGGTTTTAGTAAAATCCATCTTTTCCAGCACAACTGCCTTTGACTGAATGAGCTTTGTGGGTAAAAATAGGCGAAGGCCGTGTTAAAGGATGAAAACATTGAAGGGTATGCTATTTTTTTTAAAAGAGATTGAACCCAGTAATTGGTAATGACCTTGAGATTCCCGGTCATGGTATCGTAGTGACATGACCAATAACAATGACGTCAACTTAGGTTTGTTGAAAAACCGATCGTTTTTCTCTCTACTCGTTGTGCAGCGCATAAAAAGGCCGAGATATATGTTTTATCACTGTACTGTAATTAGTTTTGGGAGGTTAACGTAATTTGAATTGATTAATTCCCATGTCTGTATCCAGATGTGTAAAACCACTGCCTGATGCGTTTATAACTTTAACACCGCATAAATAAAAATGAACTATTTTGATATTGTCCTCATGCTGAAGAGTCACTCTTTCATTGGCGCAGCAGGTGCGGCGAACTCTCAAATCTGCGCACGCCTGTGTTTTTCTGTTTCGCCGAGGACGAAGGAGGAATTAAAACCTGATGTATAGAGCCAACATGGCCTACAGTCTGTCTGTCTGTCTGTCTATCTATCTAGTTAGCTAGCTAGGTATTTATCTATATATTTATCTAGCTAGCTAGCTAGCTAGATAAATATATAGATAAATACCTAGCTAGCTAACTAGATAAAAAGATAGATAAATAGCTAGCTAGCTAGCTATTTATCTATCTATTTATCTAGTTAGCTAGCTAGGTATTTATCTATCTGACTAGTTAGCTATTTATCTAGTTAGCTAGCTAGGTATTTATCTACAGCACAACAACCTGGGTATACATTTCTTAAAAACCTTAAAACAAGCTACCTAAAAGAACCTGGCAATGGTTGACCTGCAAAATGCCACTACTGTATGTAAATCATTATCTGAAGACAAAATTCATCCAGAAGTCTTTGAAATCTGTCATACATTCACTCCTCTGTGAAGAAGAAAAAAAAAAATTGCATTGAACAAAAGTACTAAACTTAAATATGCTACAATATCATATTATTTTCATGCACTTCAAGAGAAAAGTACTATACTGTAATTAAGTATTATTATTGTATTTTTGGAAATTATTTATTGAAGCATTTTCATCAATCAGTGATATAGAAATAGGATGCATTAAAATATCAATTAAGTTTAGATAAAAAATCTCTCCATGGCAGACATTACCAACACGTGGTTTTGTGCATTCTGCTTCGAAACATTTTGACATTTGTTTTTGACATCTGCAATACCAATATCAGCCACACGGGGGAGTGCGTGCGACAACTGTTGTCAGACTCTAATGTCCAACCCAAACTGTGTTCCCCTAGAAATACAACCTTGTCAGATAATCTGTATATTTGATTTTGCATACTTAGATCTGTTCTTGTGGAGATATTTTTTCAAATCTCCAGTGATTAGATATACAGTAATATTAATGCATGTTAACACACACACTGCCGCTGTCTTATACCACAGTTTGTAAAACTAAGGCTTTTTTCCTAGTTCGTCCCCCTAGTGGTCAATGATCATCTCAAAACATTACAGCGGGATTAAAATAAAAATAAAAAATCTTTTTCAAAAAAAAAAAAAAAAAATTAAAAAAAAATTTTTTATATTGCTCCATTTCTCCGTAACATAAAATCTGCTCGGGGTCAGAGGTCAGTGTCCAGTCTAAGCCACAGCTGGCCCATCTTGCATTGGGGTGAAGTGCAGCAGTTGGCCAGCATCTCTTTGCTTAAATTAATATCAATCATAGCTCCCGGGCTCAGCTACCCACCCCTCCATCGTCGCAGGGCTGCGATTGGCTCCCGGGACGGAGATCTGCGAGGGGGGTTCAGGAAAAGCTGCTGCATCAGTGTCCACTCACTGACAACAATGAGGCTAAATAACTAATGAGCCGTGTGCAGTGCTGATGGGTATTCCTCCTTCTGTTCTCAGTGTAGCCGTGGACATGACCAGCAGCCTATCTAGGGCCACACACCGGAGCAGGGCATGACAAAAACGAACAATGCTTTAGCTTATTAAAGCAACACAAAATTTTACCTTTATCACCAAAGAAGACACTTTGTAAGAAAAAGCTTTTCTGTCTGGATCACCAAAGAAGACACTTTGTAAGAAAACGCTTTTCTGTCTGGATTATTTTTTATATATATACATATATATTTTCGTCATTATTTTTTGGAGAGTTCCTGAAGAGAACAAGCTTTAACAACCCGAAGAGAGAAGAAAACCAAAATGAAACCAAGGATTTTACTCATCTGCCTGACATCACTCCACTGTCTGAGTAAGTATCTTTTGCCACCTGAATTTAAACTTACGTACCGAGGGTTTGAGAGTGAAGAATGACGTGTGCAGGTGAGCTGGAAAGTGAAGTTCAGCGAGCTTCGGCGTTTGAGGAGCACTTGCTTAGACTTTTTACTTCAATCGTTAAGCTAACAAATCACTAAAAAAAATATTGCCACGGTGTCTTTTACTGTGTTTGCTGAGCTTGTGATCACATCCCGTTGTTTTCTTGGAGATAGAGCTTAAGAGCGTCCTCATTGTACGTGATATGATGGTTGATACGATTGCGGTGCGAAAGTGTTGAAAAATATCCTGTCTTAAACCTAAATTGCTGCAAATGTGTGAAATTTTGGGTCACACTCTATGCAGACGATACGGCTTTGCCCAAAAAACAGTTAAATCGTTTAACTAATCGTAGACTTCAGTTTGTTCTGTAATGACATTGAAAAAATACAAATTTCTTAAGAAAATGTAACTACATTTTTCAACGTTAAGGCACAGAGAGCTAAAAAATAAAAGTCCGGTGACTAAAGCAACTGAGTCCGGAAGTATTTGGACTCTTAAACCCACAGTAATGATCAGTATACGAATCAGTTTCAGTGCTAGTTTTCATATGTTTACTGCGTATGTTTAAACCTAAAATAAACTTAAAATAAGCCCTCTCCCACACCCCCCACCCCCCCAAAAAAAAGCTC